TATATTTTGATTCAAAGCGGGATATAAAGCATGCGTCCGTACTGTAACAGTAGGCCGAACTCAATTGATCCAATACCCAATAATATTGTGAAAATCCAATAGATTGTGTGACCAATATTATTGGTTCCAATAGATTGGGTGACCAATATTATTGGTTCCAATAGATTTGGTGACCAATATTATTGGGACCCAATATATTGTATTGGTGCATGCCTAATCACACTTGAATCGTATTTTGATCGGAAGAGTTTAATATCTTTTGTTTGCATCGTATCTGACATTTTATCAGACAAACTTTTTGATAAATGCCTACGTAATGTAATATAATTTGATTTTTGGAAGCGCCTTTGACAATGATTTAAAAATAAATCTTGCTCTAAATGACTTCCAAATTTATGAAAGATAACTTACATGTACCATGAAGTAAACGTATACTATAAACTTATATTTGTTTTGCTTTATTCTGTTCCTAATGTACATAGACTCTTAAACATGCAGGATCGTCGTATAGCAAATATTGAATTTTAATTTGAGGAATACGTTGTGCCGTAACTCATCCACATGAGAAAAAGATGAGCGGGTATCTGTTTCCTTTGTGTATCAATCGTGAAAAGTTAAAAGAAAAAATCAATTACCTGTTTAGCTTTGAGTTTTTTTAAAAATTTAGTGGCAACATAATTTTCTGGTTGAATATCGAATTGTTTTTGTTGTTGTGATGATTTTACTTGTGATGAAGTGCTACTGCTAATATTTGCAGGTCGTTGCATATTGAGTAAAGTTAATATGGAATCTTTTTCTGTTGTATATGATAAATCAGCAATTGTTTTACCTTTTGATGCTAGTCGAAATGCAGCCATCCATTGTGCATATTGTTCTTCCTAAACGTACAAAAAATTTACAGAAATAGTGTTTATTCATCTATAAGAAATAACATACTGTCGAACATTTAATTAAAACTTCTGCCATGCCATCAATTGACGGTATTAATAATTTGATACCATATTTTTGAGATGAAATATTCACATCTGGAAGAACTTCACAACCTATAATAAATTTTATTCAGTATGAAAAAAAATTTAATTGCAAAATAAAAAAATGATGTTTTTCTACCTTTTAAATTAATTTTTTCAATTGGAATGCCTTTTTCATCAACTTCATTTAAGTAATATGTTAAATAAATATCTTTGAATACAAACCAATAACGTTTGTATGATTTTAATGTAAAACGCTTTGGTTTCAATAATCTTAAATAATCACGTATTTCTGGTAATTGTGTTAAATGTTTTGTTGACGTTGATTTTGTGGTACCATTGACTCCCAATAAAGAATCTTGTAAACGTTGTAAAGCTTGATCAACATCGTCATTACACTCTGGATGTATATCATTGAAGTTTGATGACGAACTCAACGATTGAATTTGACTTTGCAACTGAAAAACACATAGAAAAAATAATAATAATAACAATCCCATGTGATCATGTAATAATTTTCACAATCTGATTTCTCACAGTATTAACAGTATCACATAAGTAACCTCATGAAAGAGAAGGAAGAACTATTGTGATCATATCATCATATCGTTATATTCAGCAATAGAAATATATCTAAGTTAGAAATTTGAACTATATTACTAAATAAAAAGTACTAGAATTTTTAGTATTATTTTTAGACATCAACAACCTATTCTATGATCAGATTTGTTTGTCCAGACAAGAATAACGTTCTCTTTTGATATAAAGATTCAGTGGCTAAAAGATAGCCCTTATGTTAACGAAAGCAAAGGCATTGTGCAGACAAAAGGATTATGGTCTACGATGATGTGAATTTATGTGAAGATGTTAAAAATTATGTTTAATCTGAACAATATTACATTACAGTTGTAATAATTTGTGAGTAAAATCACAAATTAAATCAAAAAAAAATTTAAAATTAACAAATTCATCTTTTAACCTAGAGATGATTTTATAAAAATCGACTTTCGGAATCTACTGTTGTAAACTATAAACTCTTTTATCTATCAATGTTTTAGAAGACTGATGTTTACGGAGAATCATTCACTTTAAAATGATGTTATACTTAAATTTCAAACAAATGAATTATGAAACTCATTTTCTAATGTCGTTTGGATTTTAATTTTTTAAGGAAGATGTCCTTACGATGCAGGTCAGATTTCTCTATTTATGCTGTGCCTAACAAAAAAAAAAAACACAATTTGAAATTACATGGGTCATAAATTACGACTAGATCTGCTTGAAACTATACAAAATTGACTTTTATATTACTAATAATTACAAAACGAATGTTTTTAAACACATACTTGTAATGCAGCAAACATCATCATTTCTTCTTCTGTACAGTCAATTTCTTCACTTATGATTGACCATTTAGCTTGTTCATACAACTGATTTATTCGTACAGCATCATACTAAACGAGAAAAATACGCAAAAAAAATTAGAAAAGTAATTATCGAACATTGATGTCATGTCATCTTACTTTTGCATTTAAATCGAAAAATGTATAATATTTAAATCTTAATGAGATGAGATCATTTTCGTTAATATTTTGTTCCATTAAAGAAATTGATGAATCTAACCATCTAAACGAGTATAAAATGCGTATGGTCACTTAGAATTTGTTGATCAAAATGCATGACCATTTTTAAAGAAAAATAGATATATCTGTTACTATATTTAGAAGCTTTTTGATGAAAATGAACATAAATAAGTTTAGATACAAGTAATCACAAAGTCTGACAGATTAAAAGACAGTATAAAAATACTACTCCATTTCAATGGGACCGGGATTAAATAAGAGCACTTACAATCCATTGATTTTTGCTTTCTCGAGTAAACTTTTAGGCTTTGATAAATGGTTTAAAACTTGTTTGACTGGTGTCAACGGTGTTTGTGCCAAATTTTGCTGTTCAAAATCTTCAAGACTGTTCAATGATTTTGATAACTGTGGAACTGGACTACATGACGATAATTTTCGCTGGTGTGTATTATTATTGTTCAATGTGTCAATCTGACGAAAAGAATCCTAGTAGACAATACAATTGAATTTACTTAAAGATTAAACTAGATTCTTTTTAAAATTCACATACGGGAGAAATAACCATTGCATCGATGGCTGAAGGATATTGACGAATATTTTTTGTTGAACCTGAATGTGATTGTTGATGATGTCCATTTAATTTTGGTGTTCTGGCACAAAATAATGTTGAGTTTGTTGTTGTATTATGAGCTAATGAATCACCCATAGAATTGTGACGATAAAGATTACTATTACCAGAAATGTTTTTCCTTCGACTTGGCGATGTTCCTCTGACGACTGATGTTTTTAAGGGAAGTTGACAGTGGCGAGTAAATGATAATTCTTCAGGATATCGGATACCTAATAAATATTTGTTAATGAAATTATCAAATTCTTTTACATTTTATCTGTTTATTTTACCTAATTGTTTACCCAATTTACAAATAGATGCAAATACTGATGTAGAAAAATCAGTTCGCACATTAACAATACGAAAATCTGGTAATTGTATTCGTAGTTGTTTATGCATACTGGTAAAAACAAGAAGAGCATCGGCTTGTACACCATATTGATCGAGTGAGTATTTTGTATTTGTTAACCAAATATTTTTCTCTGGCCACCACAGAGCAAAATCAGACCAATCTTGTGAGACATCTAAAAGAGAAAAAATGATAATTGTTAACTGAGAAAAATGTTCAAATAAATAAACGAATTAATTACCTAGAAGATTTACAAGTTGAACCATCACACGACCAATATGCATATCGCCTTTGACAACCACCGTTGTTTGTGTCACTGCTGTTGTTAATATTGTTAAATTCCATGTTGCAGTGGGTATCGTAGTCGATGATGATACTACAGAGATAGGCATTTTGTTAACGTCTAGATGCACTACTTTTTTTTAGATTTTGCCTCTGTATGCGTTTATGATATAAATATCGGCATACATAAAGACAAATGTTAAAGTCAATAGATAATCTAAAATAAAAAATAGCAAACAGTCGTATAATATTTACTACAATTTTATGGAAATGAATGTGAAAGATCATCGAAACAAACTGTGAGTCTATTTTATTGCTAGTATTTCATTAGGAGTCGGTAGAACAGAAGTTCTGTCTGTCAGTTCTATAAAAGCAAGATAATATCATAAAACAACTTATGAAAAAGCCATAGTCCACTTGTTATTTTTATATATACGTAATTGAGTTTTGTTTGTTCTCTTTCTCCCTGTTTCTCTCTCTCTTTCTCTCATAGTCTACGATCGACCAATAGAAAGATAACTATGTACCTCCAATTATCATGGGAATCTTATATAGATATTATTCGTCTATTATTTGACCATTGAGGCTGTTCCTTTGACAGAGAGTTAAAGCGAGAGAAAAAGAGAGAGAGAAGGAGGAGGAGGATATATAATAAAAGTGTAACGGTTAAACAAAGAGAAAAATCGTCGTACAGTAACATCATTTTGGTCATTTCTTATACTAAGCGTTATATTTTATGAATATTGTTAAGAACATTAAAGTTAAATTTGTTCAAATACGACAATATTGACGGATTCATTCAAAAGGAAGGACTTTCAAGAAAACTGAATGTACTTGACACTTTTTTTTTCTATCAGGAAGGCCAAATAAATTTAATTATTCAGAATAGTGAATTGATTTAAATAATTGTTTTTCAGATTAGTTTTGTATTTACGTGATTGTACTTAACTATAAGTCTGAACATGACCGAAGAACAAGTAAAAGATGTTGGAAAAGCATTTATTCACCACTATTATCACACATTTGATACTGGATCACGAGAAAATGTTGCAGCTTTATATGTAAGTGCAAATTTATATTAGATCTAGAGATTGGTTAAAATATTAGTTTTTTATCTTATTTTTACTAAGAAACTTCGATTATTTATGTTTAATTGTAGGAGCCATCCGTTGGTCGAATGGATTTTAATGGTGCAAAAACGGCTGTAGGTATTGCGGAAATAACAGAAAGACTTCGTAGTTATACATTTACAACAATAACCCACACAGTATCAACGATGGATGTTCAACAAACCTATGATGGTGGAATATTAATTGTTGTTACTGGAATGTTAAGAGTAAGTCGATAAATATCATTCGATTTTTGTCTTACTTCAACTATTACTTGAATACTGTCTAACGAGTTTATTTTATTTATTTTAGGCTGACAATGATCAACCAATGCAATTTACCGAAACATTTTTATTAAAGGGTGCAAATAATTCATGGTTTGTTGTAAACAATTTTTTTCGTTTAGTTTTTCATGGATGATCAAGTAAAAAGAGGCAAAATAAGAGTTTATACTATATGTTATTAAATAGTGAGAAGATTTTTACTTTTCCACACAGACTAGTCTTTATTATTATTATTATTATTTTCTTTTTTTCTTTTCATTTTCTGTTTGTTAAACTATGTTCACTATAATTCTTTTTTTCTTATTGTTGTTCTCTTGAATAAAATAAAAAGCATTTACATAGTGTTTTTCAGCAATCATTATTCAAACTTCGTTTATCAATATGAGAACATTTACAATTAGACGACGATCAACAAGAAGGTATTCGAAGAAACTCTATCTCCGTTTCTGTTTGTGTATGCAGAAAGAAAACCCTTCAGTCATTAAAATACTTTTAATGGATGTATATACAATTTATATTATTGATGATTGAGAGTTAACTTTATTTTGTTTTGGATCGACGATCTCCTGCTGTGTGGTGTGAAGATTAGATTCTACCGTATTCTTTCGTAATATTGAGATAAACGTAACGCTTGTGTAGTTTTCAATTTGTTTCAATTGTACCATAGAAGGATCAAATGAAAAGTAGAAATAATTGATGTATTAGTTCTGATCATTAGATATTGAGCGAATAGATTAACATTTTAATCTAAACAGAAACACAATCAACAAATTGAACATTAAATTCTTAATGACTCTAAATAATTAAAAATCAACTCACCATGGTGATAGCCTAACGTAAAGAGAAAGAACGTTTTTAAACGAATATAAAATGAAATGCTAGTAAAAGATGATAACTTAATCGATATATTTTTTTCCATCGAACAACATACGTATTTTATTCTTTTTTCTGTATTTTTTCCCGTAATGGCCTCATCGGTACATTCATCATGTTGTAAAAATAATTTAAAATATCAAATTGAATCGTTTGTCAAAAATGAAATGGATAAATTTTATTCTGCATCTAACATGGCCAACAGCGATAAACGAAGATATTATTCATTATATCGTTCAAACATAGATAACCCTATAATTATTAAAAAACCAATTCAACCATCGTTAACAAAAACTTTTTTAATGCATATCTATAACAAAGCCCATTCCTACATAAATAAATGGAAAAAATCAAATATTGTCGAAGTCAACCAACCAGTAGAAAAAAGTCCAACAGTCAATAATGGATTATTGTCAACTGCTTTAGTGAAAAATTCTAAAAATAGTATGACAACAGAAAGACTACCGACTGCTCAAACTGCTGATGTACTGTATCAGTCAGTTAAAAACCCATGTTCAGATAAAGATACATTTCTCGAAATAACTGTCCATCCAGTAAATAAACGAAAGAAAATTTCAAATCATCGAAATTGTATGAAAAAGCCAAAAGACCAAAGTCTAAGTCTTCGTTTTCCAATCTTTTATCCCTCTCCGCAATCATCGAAACACCGCCACACACATCACCGTTCGTCATTATCAGCATCGATAATTAAATCAAAAAAAGTAAAACATAAAATGAAGCGTAGTATACGTGATGTTGCAGTAAAAAAGTTCAGTCCCATACCCGTCACCTCGGTACGGACGTCTAATTATTCATTTAGAGATTGGTTGAATCAGATAAAAAAATCTGCTGATGATAAAGACGATAATAAATCAACTGTATCAATTTCACTAACAACGAATGAAAAATTACCAATGAATAACGGAGTGAAATTAGACACATCATTAAGAAGTTTTTCAAGTTTCAAATCGCCATTAATTCTAAGATCCGTACAGTCTATCAGCACAAATTGTCGAAGTAGAAAAAGAATGTACGAGCATGAAGAAAATACGCAAAAACAAAAATGGAAGAATTGTTCATGTCGACTATGTGGATCAACACTGAATAATGGTAGTTGTTCGTGCATTGTCCAATGCATATTAAATATGCATCATCAACAACAACAAAATATTAATCACATTTCATAGAAAATTAATAATAACGAAGAAACATCAAATATATATTAATATGTGAAGTGAGGGATCTCAGCATATAAAGCTACACTATAACATCGATTTTGCTACTGACCTTAAGAAAAATTTTCTGTTAAGGTACGTCATCGATCATTTCCTTATTATACGGAGGCAAAATCGACGTTATAGTATTCCACTATATTATAACATTTCCATGTGAAGTAAAGCAACTTTTTAACGCAATCTTAAAATAAGTCTCTTTTACGCAGTATGACTCATATCCTCTTATTATTATCCTGACTTATTATTATTTGTAATATAGAATTAAGGGAGTACGAATGGAAAAGCAAATGACGAACGTAATGAACTTTATATTGATTTAATTATTCATTACTTTTCTTTTCCTTTTTAAGTCAAAACCAATACGTTTGAATTTCGAAACTAAAATCATGAATAGTTACATGATTTCCAGGCAAAACACCGATTGAAGTTTCCAGATTAATATCCAATTTATGTGCTACGATTCTCGAAATAAAAACTTCTTCAACGGTGAGTGCTGAAATCATTTTAAAAGTCATGTTAAGAAATAGTCTGATGAAATTTGCAAAAAAAATATATAAACGAGTCATAAATATAATTCGAATATGTGCTAAATAAATAATATCATATTCAGACGGCCCATTTACTTTTCTAAGGATGATTTGAATTGACGAAATGAACTTTTATTGCGCAAAACTCTAACATATAAGACATTTTTCACTTTGTATATAACAGAATTAGGTTCGGCAGATTTATAATCAAATAATAATGGGAAAATTTTAATAGTATTCACTGCGTGTTCACCCGTGAATATTATGAAATGTAGACACGAGTGAAATAAAACCTTTCACTTGTAAACACTCGAAAAACAAAGTTTTTCACTTGTGATCACACGTCATATATTCACGAAAACTTCTCCTTGATTTTTCTCCATGTTGGCACAACTGAAACTTGCAAAATGTATTCTACCGTAGATGCGTGTGAATTTTCTACATCAAACTCTCTATGAAAGAATTTCACACGTGAACTAATACGAATTGAGTTTTTTTTACAATTGAATCATGCATTTTCACACATCACTTCACACATGTTCACGCAGTTTTATTGATTAAATTTCTCCATGAGAGTATGGTTGAAAACATCTTCCCGTTGAGAAAGTGTTAAATGTTAAGAAAATATGGTTTTCTTCTTGATATTCTGGCGTGGTCTGGATTGATTTTGACTGATTTTTGGAGTTTCTAAGCCTTTACGCGTAAATAAGCGAAAAGGGATTATTTCACCTAATAGAAGTTTTCATTAGGTTTTTGACCTTTTTCGAAAAGTAAACGATGCTACAAGATTCAACATGATCGATAACGTATACCGCCGTTGATTTTCAGATTAGCGTATCTAAAGAAATATCGATAATGGTGTCTGCGATGCGTCTGTACCGCGAAAAATTAAGAGGATACTTTGAGCTATATAACTACCGAGATGGGGAAAAATAAAGTGCGAGTTTTGTTTTTGGTATATCTTTTTTACTATTGATGCGAGAGTGCCAGTTCAAACATCATTCGAAAGGGCAGATATTTTCGTACATGACTATATATAAAAACAATTAATAAAAAAGACTGCTCGAGCTTTTTTTAAGAAAAACTGTTTTTTGTCGTCTAAGGGTGCTTTTTTTCTGGCTCATCAAAAACGACATTACAAGATTGAAAATCTAACACTATTATTGTGCCGGTCATAGTTGTAGGCTTCAAAATGCAAAGGATTAACTATCTGAGAGTGATGTGACTGCCCTATAAAGAATCATTGATTGGAGCTAATATGTCAGTAAAACAAAATTTTCTTTACCATCCATTAACTGAGACCAAAGTTGAAAATTGAATTTGTTAAAGAGTACTTCTCGCCCTCTCCTCTATTAAGATTTTCGTTTTTCGAATTAAATATGCCACAATATACAGTTAACTGCCTCCTACAAAATGAGACATCTCTCAGCTCTCTTTGACCTTTCCTTCTGGAGTTCTGCATTTTTTAAGATCGGCCACTGGAGATCCTAATTTATCATTATTCACTTTGCTAAATTTGTCCGCACGTGTGGGGACTAGTCAACGTTTTTTCAAACATTTATTCGAATAGACAAAATGAGATAGATGTTGCTGAGCTCTGTGCGATATTTCACTTCATGAGCTTGAATAAATAACGGGTGTCCCAGAATAAATAGGCCTCTCAATATTTTGGCAATATCTCTATCAATTTTCACTGCCGAAACTCGAATTGTTTTTTAAAACATTTCCCCTTCAATTCTCTACAAAAATCATTGGATTATTGAACATTTTTTATACGTCGTATAAATAGAAGACTATGAATAAAACACTGCGAAGCTTCAGTCTTCATTCTTTCCTAGGCTGAAAACAGTTTTTGAATTTTAGTCCTTTGTAACTTGCGATATAAGATAAGAGAAAATGATCATTTTGTGGCCCTTGAAAAGCTCTATCAACTGGCCACATTTAAAACTTTTCATCGTTACGACTGGTTGTGGGAGAATGCCATTTCTTTTATCAATTACACCAAAAATCATCGGTCTTAAACTCCAGTTTTGGAGTACACGGAAATTTTTTTATAAATCGGTTAAAATCGAACATTTTGATGAGCTGAATTCCTTTTTCTGTGCCGGGACGAACCAGTCAAAATTTTCGCTTTTTTCTAGTAAATATTAGTAAAATCGCCTTTTGTGCCATAAAATCACGTTTAAAGCAAATCTATGGTATTTGACAAGAAAGACGATACTTCGAAGCATCAAAGCATACATTTCGAACCCACTTTGATGCATAACACCGCGCTAAAAATAAATGTTTTTACGTTGTCTTTTGCGTCAGAAAATAATGGAGACTGGAATTTCGCAGTGTTTCTTGAGGACGCTAAAGATAGCTCATTCAATTCTGAGTTGATTGCGGTGTTCGGTAGCTCTCCATGACATTTTCTTGCTGAGATAGACGACTTTCATGAGAAGTCTGTCTAAAAAAGCTGTCTCAAGCCACCCTGCTGTAAGACATTTAGTAAAAGTCTCCTATTTCAGCAAGAAAATGTCATGGAGAGCTGCCGAACACCGCATTCAACTCAGAATTGAATGGACTATCTTTTGGCGTCCTCAAGAAAGTTCCATCAAACTGTGGTATTTAGTTTTTCTCCAGTCCTCCTAGATATATATGCTCCAGAGTTTTTGATGAAACTTTGGCAACCGCCTACGTTTGTTCAATGTTTTGTTTCAAAGGCTTCCGATATCTTCGAATTCTTTCGGCGACACTCAATACGCGTAAAGATCATATCTAGAACAGTTAGCTGAACCATAAATCCCAGCGGGAGTCGGGAACGAGAAAGAAAGGCGAGATTTCTTGTGCGCAATTAAGAAAAAAACAATTTAAACTGCATCTAGTCAATGCAGAATAACTTAAAAAGACGAAAAATGAGAAAAGAAAGAAGTTCATCTTTTCGTAAAAACAACCTTGCGGCTTGTCCACGTAAAGGTACACTTTTTTTCGATATCGAAAGTTAGTTTTGAGTAAGTTTTGAACACATGATTAGATTCAGTTTTTCATTCTAAGAACCCGTTTGAACTTGTTTTTCAAAAAAGGTCATTTTTCATCCAAAAACCTGGTTTTGAACTTTTCAGAAACCGGATTTTTAATGTTCTAACCAAAAACATTTTTTAAAACAAATTTCTAAAAATATGCTTTTGTAGAGAATTGAATCCTCTACAAAATGGCGTATTTGTTTTTGAGTTTACTTGCTATGTACATAGTTATACAGTTTCCAACTTACTGTCCAGTTTTTGAGCTATTATTTTGATACAGCAACTTAATTTTTGCGCAGATCGATCAAATATACAAAGAACATTAGTTGTTGCTAAATTTTGGGCTGCTTGCTCAGTCTGATAAGCCAAGAATTTAACTAGATGCTTTTCAGTAATTACTTTTTTCTCAGCCAAATAAAGTCAGTAAGCCGAAAAAATGTCAGGATATGTACACAATGTGAAGTGCTCAAAGAGGATTATAATATAGACATTGCTGATAATATTAAAAAAATACCATTCATTTACTGTATCCCAAAATTTCATAAAAATCCAATTAAATAACGCTTTATAATCTCATCATCCTATTGCTGCGTCAAGGTGTGATGGTACCAATTTTGGATGTTATAGATGTTATGATGGTGAACGGCGATTTAGACATTTAGACTTTCTTCTTGAAAAAGTTGGACTAGCCGGATGGGCGGGAGCATTTCTCTCAAACCTATTCACTTTCTCATCGTTTTCCGCAACTTTGGACATTTTTTGAAACTCTCGACTAGGATTTTCAAATCTCTTCTCAACGAAACAGAAAATTCCTAGGCGTACGTCGGATACGAAGTTCTCGAGTCGGATCGAGTATGAGCGCAAAAACGTTTTCCCATCGGGAACGGGTAGGAAAACGGTATTCGTGCACATCATTTATGAGGATAGGTATACTGCTCAAGATATGAGTAAGATAACTTAGGCACAAGACTATTCAGTCAACCGATTTTTGTCACCTTTTACCTTCATTGTTGAGCTCTCCGCTTAACGTTTCCCAGAGACTATCTCGACCCAGGCCAAGCCACATTCCCTCCTTCGTGCAGTCACATTCGTTTTCTACACGTCAGAAATGATATGCTCTGCACAGAAGATATGCTCTGTCAGAGCTGTTGCTTCCTTACCTGTTACGTCACAACTCAAACAACGAGTTTCGTTTCTGTCGAGTCTTGAAAGCAGAAAAGAAAAACACAAAGCAGTGATGTCATCATGAAAACACTTAAATGATGTTGGCAAAAACATCGCGTCTATTCAGTCCTCTGATTAAAACTGATAGCAGAACGAATACAAAAACATTAATTTCATACCCCGAAGAGAGATGCAGCGTGACTTATCAGACCGATTGCTCAGTACTTGTGGCAACGATGAATGCTTGAAGCAAGTACAGACTGGTAAGTTGATCATGTGTTCTTCAACTCCATTTATTGTGGCACACACAACACCTGATGATTTCAATGTGGTGAGAATAGTGGAGAGAGAGATGATATCCATGGCCAAAATCATAGTAAAATGCTAATGGCTAGCGATCCATCCATATTAGCCTGAAAGGACAGAACCGTGCCTAATACTCGGAAGAACCATCACTCAATGTGACACTGTTACTCACGTTCGAAAGTGCGTATCCATCTTGTCATTCTCCCTCCTTTATACTTCAGAGGCTCTCGTTATATAAGGGAGACCATGGATTCAAACTCTTGACAATGCACATTTGTTTAGATGTGACGCAATTTCAGTCGCTGCCGAATGAAGTGATTCTTGAAATTTTTGAATATTTGCATGCTTATGATATGATATTCTCCATTCATTCCTTCGATTAAACGATCGTTTTGATAAACTACTTGGCAGCCTACAGTTTGATCTGAACTTTCAGCGCATCAGCGAATCCAGATGTGACTTTATCTGCGAACACTTTCCATCAACGGCACAAGTTCGTTCTCTGCGTCTTTCTAAACAGACCGTCGAATACGTTGACTTGTTCTTCACCCACTTTCCCAAGAACAAATTGGCAAATCTTCGCCTTTTATCCTTGATCGGCATGAAATCAGAACAAGTGATCAAAGTCGTGGTGCCATACTTGACCTGTATGACACAACTATTGCCACTACGACTGGCTATGAAATTCGGCAAGACAGAACATAATGCTTTTGAACAATCCAATGCCATACTTAGAAACGATTTGAAAGTAAACAACACTCTCACTAAACTTTATCTTCGAAACAACAGAATATTCGATAAAGGAGGTGAAGCACTTGCAGAAGCACTGAAAGTAAACAGCACTCTCACTAAACTTGCTCTTGGAGGCAACAAAATATCCGAGAAAGGAGGTGAAGCACTAGCAGAAGCACTGAAAATAAACAATACTCTCACTCAACTTTATCTTGAATGCAACAAAATATTCGATAGAGGAGGTGAAGCACTTGCAGAAGCACTGAAAGTAAACAACACTCTCACTCAACTTGGTCTGATGTATAACCAAATATCTGACAGAGCAGGTGCAGCACTAGCAGAAGCACTGAAAGTAAACAACACTCTCACTAAACTTGATCTTGGAGGTAACAAAATATCCGAGAAAGGAGGTGAGGCACTAGCAGAATCACTGAAAGTATGTTGAATGCATCGACATTGAATGTTGTCGATGCTATTGGGTCTCTTGAATATCTGACTGTGGTTGATGATCTTTGAAAAATTTTAATTTAAATTTAAATTTAATTTAAAAATATTAAGAACATTAGTGCATTAGATAGATCGCGAAAAGCTGTTTCTAGAAACGTGACTTGATCTTTCTCAAAGATCACAAAGTGTGACAAAAATAAAACTGCGGAGAAATTTCGTGACGGAATCACGTGTTCAAAATATCACGTTTACAAATTCAGGTGACTGAGTCATGACTGAGTCATCTGAGCACAGAAATTAATTTTTTTTACGTGAAAAGTAGGTTTATTTCTTTTACTTTCGACTCGAGCCACCAATGGAACAATTAACTTTCGCCCCGGATGAAAATGAAAAAACTCATGGGTGCGCTGTTCTTTTACGGTTCAAGTCGCCATCTGTTCAGCAGCCTTTTTCTCTAAAAAATGAACACAAAACGAAGATAAAAGTACTCCTATACGTTATTGATTATCCTCTACAACATAACAGTGTTACTTTTAACCGAATTTGCACTTCAACTTTGACATAAAAGTCTACCTTTGCGTGGACTTGACTAGCCGTTTTCTTCTTTCTTTCGTCTAGATCGATTTTTGACCTTGTAGCATTGCGTAATTTCAACACTGTTCCTGTAAAGCGAAAGGGTCACAGATAAAGGATCTGTCGGACTACATTTTGGTAAAAGGACTTTTCAATTTCACAGTTTCTGGTTTTGAGGTTTAAATTTTAAGATTTTGGAGATCTGAACTTGTTTTTCATCCTGTCGGAAAACCTACTCAGGAAAAGCGTTTTCAACTCGATTTTTTATGAAAAGATAGTCTCAGTTCTTGTCGTTCAGTTGGTGAAATTGCAGGTAAAGCTTACTATCGACAAAAAGGCGTGTCAAACTCTGGACTACAAAATCGTGAAAAATGCAGTACATAAGCTATCTTCTACCAAAATTGATTAGAAAAATAGTCAGGACTAGTTCTTTATTTTACAGATTGCGTTTATCCCAAAATCGATTTCTTTTCCTTTTTCAATCGATATTTCGATCAATTTTTTCGTGAATTTGTGAATTCGTGAAGTTATCTCTAGTTCTCTCCATCAAAATAATTCTTGAGACAGACTTGATTTCATTCATCACATTCTTTCAGACTTGCAGAAAAGCAAGTCAAAAAGCAAGAAGAAAATCTTAAGCCGTGGTTTTGTTACTCGAAATTATCTTTAACTGCGCTTTACAAATTGTCCTCGAAGACAGAGACCGTTTTTCGTGGAGTAAAACATACTGATTTAAGCGACAAATATCCGACAGAGTTCAAATTTGCACGGTGGAATGTCACTTCATGCACGACAACCATCGATGGATTGAAGTCAGAGAAGTTTTTTGGAAAGAGTGGGAAAAGAACTCTGTTTTCTATTGCATGCGTTAATGCAAAATCAATCACAGCTCTCTTGTACTACAGTGGAAAAAAACGATCCAAAAAGGATCATCGCTGCAACTGCTGGTTCTATTCAGCATTATCAGCTAAAACCGGTACCGGATCCTTTCTTCAAAGACTTCTGGTAAGTTAAAATCTTAGTACTTTATAGACACACGGTAAAACGAAAAGCGTTCAAAAAAGCGCCCACTAGAAAACGTTCACGAGAAGTATACTAAAAAAAGCATCGACAAAAATGAGTCCACAAAAATTCGTCCAAGCATAGTATTTAAGTGCATACTGCATAGATGACTCATTTCACTGCACTAGCTCATCTCAGAAACGACTGATTTCCTGCGATAGTGGATCAAACCAGCAGATCAGGCGCGCTTCCAAATTATAGGGCGTTCAAAACTGAGTAAAATATTATCTAGAAATCTTTTCAAATTTTGTTTTTCCATCTAACAAAAAAAACATACGAGAAAACTAGTCCACAAAAAAAACCGTCTAGCAAAAAAGCATACCAAGATGGGACGAAAAAACCGTCCACTAAAAAGCGTCAACTTTTCGAGGTTTTTTTTTTATCGTGCAGATGCCTTGATGCGTGGTGAACAATTGTCAGCTAAATATTTCAGCCTTAGAATCGTCCGAAGATGCAATAACATTTGAGGTTTTATTAAAAATGCTCGCCAGAAAATCATTACCCCCAGTTCTAACACGACTTATACCACTCCAGAACTTTGAGGAGTTTTTAAATGTTCAGATAATTCCGCCAGATGAGAACGTTTACATGTTTCTAACTCGTATGTTGCTTTGCTTCGTAATATTTTGTACTCTGTAAGTAAAGATGGTGAAAATAATTTATGAATAATTTATCAAATTCGTTAAAGTGTGTGAAAATATACGATATTATGAAAATTTTACATATGAATAAAGATGTGTTTCACAAGATAATAAGCTGAGTGTCTTGTGTATGCTGAGACTAACTATTGCAGGTGCTTCTCTAGTTAATTCAGATATGTCTGAGCTACAACATTAAAAAAACAGTCTGAAAAAGTAATGTGATCTAAGGTACAAAATACAGGTTTTACACTGTCCCAAGGTATTCTTGAAAATGTAATATAATCTAATCTCAAACATGATCAAAATTTCATTCCAAGAACCCCGTTCGAGAGACCAGAAAAAGTTGCAACTTTAAAAATTATTCTCATCTTTTTCTCCTTCGATAGAAAGTGTTCGAGTTGAGGATCTTTCGTATTGAAAACAACTTTGATCTGTGTTCAAAATGTGTGTTGGACTATATTTACATATTGAACTTTTGACTTTATCAACAAACTTATTAGCTTTTTATTACACACACCCAAATCAACCTCCAGTCACATGGTTGGATAGAGGATGATGGGTTGTCTTCACACTTTCCCGTATCTCATCCAGAAATTGCTTCTAAAGAAACAGAAGGTTTGCTTTTTTTGTATTATGATAGCATTTAATTCTAAATTGTTTAGTTATCTTTAAGTGATTAATGATCCTCATCATCCTCTATCCAACCAGGTGACTAGAAGTTGGTTTGTGTGTGTATGTGATTGGATTTTGGCTGTGTCTGGGTGGGTATGGTTGGCTGTATGGTTTACAAATATCTCGCAACTACCCAGTACTCCAGCAAAGCTAAGACTGAAAAACATATGGATGGGTGTGACGACAGCTCGGCATCCTCTATCCAACCATGTAATGAAAAGTTAGTTTGGGGATGGATGTGAGTGAGTGTGTGTAGGAGCGTAGTTTACAAATACCAGTGGTACTATGGCTTAAAGAAGCCAAAATATTGAAAATTTTTGACTTTAATCTTTATGTCAATCAGAAAGAGCTGGCTTAAAAAAAAGAATAGGTCGTTAACGGCCCATAATGGTGCAATAATGGTCTTAAAAGGAGCATAATAAAATGTCTGTTTTTTTATTATAATAAAACTCCCACTTTTACGTATTAAAACGTTCCTATTCTAGATGTCCGAAGAAGGTAAAGGATATTTTCTTAATGGTCTAAACATGTCCATTTAGCTTTGCTGATGGTTTGTTTTTATTAGAAAAAGTAATATTGTAATATGCATCACACTTCTTATGATATATACTGAGGTTTTTAGATACTATATTGCTAAGTTACTTTGTCTGCTATTAATCATAAGGTTAAAACAACGTCATTCTTTGTAAATAACTACAAGTTTTTGCCTATCTCTATCACAGAAATTAAAGCTCAAAGGCGATCAAGTAGAAAAAAGTTCTTTTTAACGAACGGAACTTGAAAATTTCTTTTTTCTTTCTGTTGAGTGCATGTGTTTGCACATGCCACCGGCTCGTTAGGAACAGGAATTGTTTTGTTCTGTTTCGTCTATACATACCTTTTGTTTTCTGTCGCTATGTGTAAGGAAAAAAGTTGACTAGGATCAAAAATAAAATAATGAATATTAGCAGAAAAGTGTTTTAAAATAAAGCACAGTATAAACTGATATAAGTTAATTATTAGTTCAAAAAGCACAAGTTAAAAATGGGATGTGGTACAAGTAATCCAACAGCTGTTCAAAACCCGTCAAAAGTACCCGTTTCATCTGTACAAAACAATCAAAAAACCAATGAACAGACATTAATAGCAAGCAATAATCTCAACAAAAAATCTGTTTTACCGTCGATAGAACAACGTCAAACGAAAACAACTTCAGCTGGATCAAACCATAGCTCAGATTCAGGATACTCGGATGATAATATAGCAACAGCTCAAAACAACTCTTCGAATGGCACTTGTAAGTATAAGGTTACCCCTAGTAAATGTACTTGAAGCCAAGTACTTGATTACTTACTCAGTAGTTGGGAAGTACTTGACAAGTTTCCTCACGGTGCTCTATAAATCGCTGATTACGCGCCATCTCTCAGAATTATAAATTAAAACTCCTAACGACAGAAGTTTGCTGAAACAGTTTTTAAACATTCGAAGACTAACCTATTCATTAGTTTTCTCTAAAACATTGCTAATATTTTGCAGCTGGTTTTCATATGTTATTAAACATTTGAAGATTTTGTTTTACACTGACAAGTCGTATATAAATGTCATAATATCAATCAGTATAGTCTTATAAAATAAATTTAGATATTTCTACTGAGTTGAACAAACTTGGTAGCTATGCATGCGTGTGCTCTACAAAAGTAGAGTATGACTACAGAATACGTACAAAATGCAAAATAAAGATAGATGAAACAAGTACTTGGCTGAAGTTTTTCAACTACACTTACTTGTACTGAATCTAAGTGTTTAAGTGCTTGACAAGTAACTCAGAGTACTTATAAGTAAAATTAGTTGTAGAAACCCATCACGGACTGGCTTCATTACTTGTACCCAGCACTTTTCAGGTACTTGGCTACAAGTACATTCACTAAAGATACTGTCAAAACTTAACATGTTTACATTACATATTTGTCACATTCTTCGACTTTAGCGCTAGTAAGAAATGGATATGACACAAAAAACAGTCGAGTCCCAGTTAAAACAGATACAAGCAGCAATGTGAACGATCTTCTCGTTCAACACCATCAGAAATCGCGACTGGGTCTCGGTGAAACGTTTGAAATCACTGCAACACCAACGGATAAAAAATTTGGTACTTTGGCACCACTCAAATTTATTCCACGTTTTCTATTAGACAATGAAAAAGTAAAACCAGAATCATTATCCAAAGATGAATTACAAGCAAAACTAGAAGAGAAACAAGAACGAGCATCTAGAAAACGAAGGGTAAGAACGAAAAATAAAATGCACTCCAAATCAAGATAATTTCTCTAAAACTTTTCTTTTCTTTCTAGGAATTAGAGAATGCTCGTCGTCAGGCGTCATCACGAATGGGACAGAGAATGCAACAGCAGCAATCAAACGCAAATGAAGCACAAAACTCTACTGACGATGATCGACATCAACGATTAACGCTGCTACGCGATAAATTATGTCAAAATGGAACCAACGCTTCAGGATTACATTCACCTCGAACACCACGACCAGATTCTATGAATAGCGGCATTTCTGATATTTCACAATTGACACCGAGACGAGCAGGATTTTTGATGGGTAGTACCAGTGCTACACATTTTAAACCCGTTTATGATTAAAATCTTATGGTAATCTACTGCTTTTACTTCTGTTTTTTTCATTTAGTTTGTATGCACGATATTTGTGCTGAGCACAGTATTATTTTTTTGTTCAAAATTTCATTTTCATGTTCATATTTTTCCGACAAGTGAAATATATTTATCTCAACAAAAGAAAAAATTCGGCATGATTGTCACAATTCTTTTTAAAAAGCTTGAATGTATACGAAAATGAAACTTTTCTGCTTAATTCATTCTCGAATTCACCTATCTTTTGTATCTGATATGATGCCCTACTAAAGTCTTGAGTAGCTCTTATATGTCTGTTTATATCGAAGTTCCATACGCTAATTGATGCCATCATGTGGCGACGCCACATACTGACAATCTCTCTTCTACAATTGCTTTAGACAAGGAGGAATAAAAAAATTTTCTTTGTGCAGCTTTTAGATTATTATTATTATAGACCGAGTGTACTCCCGACTTTCCACTTAATTACTTATGTTACTCCAGGGTGCCGTATTACAAAAAAACCTAAATCACCGACTTAAGCCATGAGCTAAGTCTAAGTTTAAGACCGACTTAAGTTCGGAGACTTAAACCGTGTTACGAAAAAGACTTAAGTCGTCGATTTGTTTACTTTCCGAAACCCGTTGACAACAATGGCACATTTGGTACAAAAATAGGAAAAATAACGAAATATTTATTCTCTAAACCTTCTTAAAAAGTTTCGTCGAATCGTATCGTTAAATGCCTGTGCTATTCGAAGAATGCGTTAATGACTTAAGTTTTCAGTGTTAACTTTAAGGCTACATTTTCCATGAATTAAGTTACCCTTTCACTTAAGTTTTTTGTAATACGGTTTGAATCTAAGATGAGGGTTTAACTGTGACTTAAGCCTCGTTTTAGGTTTAAGTCCCGCTTAAGACTTTTCGTAGTATGACCCCAGTAAATCTTTGCTTACTGCTTTGGTTGCCTTCATCATCCCATCTAGTGATGAGCCGAAAGAGAGAAAGAGAAGTTCTCTGATGACTACAACGAAAGAAGTACGTAAGTTTCTTTTGTTTCCACCTCAGTCACGAAAGAAAGAAAAGACAGTCGATATGGTCGTAAGGAAAAGAACAGGAAACTATGCAATTCGTTCATTTTCTTACGTTTCGTAGTATTTCGATCCAACACTGATACCATCGTTTAGTTTAATCTATTGATTTACTCTGATTTGAGTAAAGCATGTCAATATATTCCAATGAGTCATTTTATCAAACAAATCAATCCACAACTATTTGAACTTGTTAATAATATCACAGGCATCACAGTAAGATATAGAATTCAATTGTGTTTTCATTACTTCATGTATATTGCTTATCTCATTCCAGATAACTGATCGCTTTAATCCTTACAAAAAATTATTTGAAGATAAAATTTTACATCAATCCTATGTCAACGTTGAAAAGATTAAAGTAGAAAACCAGATAAATGCGTAAGCTACGGATTTTTACTTCCACAAGATATTTTGTACTTGGGGAAAACATATGTAAAAAATTTACTAAAGCAGAGATCAGTTCTCTATTTCACGTCTTAGTTTTTAAATTATTTCTTTGCGTGATTAAATTTGGACAAATTTACACCTCAATTTTTCTGTTTAACTCTTATTTTTTTTTATTCTTATAGGTTAAAAGAAAAGTTTATTATTCATTCTCAAACGACAAAAGCAGATCTTTTAAAATTCATATTGAAACGATTTATCAGTCGTCCATTGAATGGGCACGCATCAGAGGTACTTAAAATTTAATTTCTATGTTTGGATTTTTAAGTAAATGCCATTTTTCGTAGAGTGAACATCATTATACATGTATACAACTTATATTATCGTTGTCCGAGAGACCGTTGGAGGTTAATGTAGAAAATTTTACACATTTAATCAATGAACAAAAAGGTTAATAATCGTTCGAAGAGAAGATGATCAAATAGTGTAGATTATTTTTCATTTTAGTTGAAACGAACTTCAACTGGACAGCATTTCTATTAGGGAGTCAAAGACAATACGAACAACATTATGGCATATTGGATTCAGAAGAGGTATATTTTCATGTTAAAAGTATATAAGATGTTTACACGATCCATATGTTAGTCTTTCTCAGCTTCAGTAAATAATTCAAAAGAATGTGTATTTTCAGTTTTTAAGTGATCAAGAAGAAGATGAAACGGATAAAATTATAAATAGTCTGAATGACAAGTCAAAACAGCTTGAAACTGCAGATGATGAGAAGAGTTCCAACAATGAGGGTTTAATTGTAGATATTGAAAATCATAGTAGGTTTGTACTTCGCATGATGGAATAAATAATTACGATACAATTGTAAAATAAATCTATTCACTTTTTATTGAAGAACTACACTCGATAAAGAACTAATTGACTGTTATTGGGAAAATGATCGAAGTCAAATGGCATATCCGCTACGTGATTTTGCATTGTTTTGGTAACTACCTTTTGCTTTTTAAAGAATATAAAAGTATAATTTTATGTGTGTACTTTTAAGGGATGAGACAATGATCAAAACAAATCATTTAGGTTATTATGTCAATACAAAGACTCTCAACGAATACATTATAATTCGAGAAACAATTTGGTTAGTTCATTAAAAACACAAAATATTTTTTCAATCTATAAAGTGTCCTGTATTTTTATGCATTAAAAAGCTCTTCTATTTTTGTATTTAGTAGTATAAAAAATCTAAAATTGCTTTAAAAATAAGTTTGTATTCTCTATTTTTTGCAATAGGCTTTTGTCGGGCGTGGAAAATCTTTATATATATAAAGTAGAAGATCGTAAAACTCATGTAGCTGATTTAGTACGATTATGTGATACAACACCAGTAAGTCGATAGATATGTTTTAAACCATGTACGCCAGTTGTGGGGTTTTTTTTCTAGGTTTCTATACAAGAATGTATGAAAAAATTTTGCCTTATATCTAATCAATTACGTTTTGCATGGCAATTTTTAAATAAAACAGAATATTCATGTCAAACAATAAAATCTTTTGCTTATGCATTACAAAAACAATTGCAACTAATACGATTTCAACTAGCAAATATTGAAAGAGAAACTTTTGAACAGAGTAAATACACAACTATTTATGTTTGCATCTATTGTTTGTCTGATTATCTTGTAGGTCGAATCTATACTACATTATCATTTTATCAAGAATTAGAAACACTTGCTATTACATCTAAAGCACATCTAATTGATAGAATATTCAATGAATCATCTTTGTTAAATAATAAAAGTTTATCTCATCGTGATCAAGCATTAGAATTAATACATGTTTTATATCAAAATCTATTAATAGTCGAAGCACTTGATATAAATGTTTCTATAGTAAGAAAAACTAAAGAAGAAAAATCAATTTAATCCTTATAAATGATAAATAAATATTTAAATGTTTAGGATTTTATGTTGCCAATATTTACGGCTAGTTGTTCAGTCTATTTATTGATTATTGAACAATGGTTAAAAAATGGTGAATTACATGATCCCTATGATGAGTTTATTGTATTGAGGTAATTAAAGTAAAAATTATTCTGAACGGTATGTATGGTTCATTTTTTTTCTAAGGGCAAAAGATGTACCAGTGAATGCGACGACATTTTGGAAACAGTCATACGTGGAACAAGTTGAAAATGCAAGGTAAAATTTATTTGAACATTAATGTATGATAATTGAAGATAAATGTTGTTTTCTATTATAGTCTAATACCAGTTTGGCTCACTAATATCTCATTATTGATCAAAGCAGGAAAATGTGCCGAATTATTAAAATATAATGGCGAATTACAGAAAAAAAGTAATATTTTTCTGTTTTTCTTTTGAATAATGTAACACTTGAGTAATATTCCTTGCCTAGATCATTTTGATAATGATACAAATTTTGCTGATCAATTATTATTAGATATAAAAGAAAAACTTAAATATAAAAATATTTATTTGAATACATTTGATTTATTGAGAACAAAAATGTCTCAAATGTCAGAAAATTCAATAGAAAATATCGAAAATCAAAATGAAGACAGCTCAACAAAAACAGTCGCTCGTTTGGATTTTGATGATATCGATAATGAAGATAATTATTTCTTAAAATTAGCATTCGAACGTTTACAAAAACCTAAAGCAAGTCTATTAGACATGAAAAGGTATGTCAGTATGAAAGTAATAACGGGTGTGTTATGGAAAGAATGGTGTAGTTTTTATTTTCAGTTTTTCTCCTCTCCCTTTGAACTCACAGAGCTCATCTTATTACCAAGAGATTCCCCATTCATTTCTCTACAAAATGATGTATAGAAGATGATCCTAAGGTTTGAGACGCTGTCTTAATTGAACAAACATCGAAATATCCGAAAAACTTAAAAAATTTCAATTTTTTCCGACGATAATTTTGAACTTCGTACTCCATTTTAAAAGTGATTGGAAGAAGATAGCACATAATTTCCTAGGATGCTTAGATGTCCTCTTTCGGATGGCGCAAGACTTATTGCCTTTCCATCGGTCTGATGTAGTAAAAATGACTGGCTAATAACTGGTAGTCATTACTGACCAAAATACGCTAGTTTCAACATCTCCATTATTCAGAAAAGTTACATCAAGCGTTTCGCACGTGAGTCAAATAGACCAAACATTTGTCTTCAAAATGACGCAAGAATGAGCCTGATTGGTTCAGTTTTGTCTGAGCAATATTCATTTTACAAATAGCCCCAAAATGCAGGTTGAAAAAGCTGAAAAAACCGATCATGGGGCTTTTTGCAAAAATCATTACTGAAAACACAGAAATAACGATAGAAAATTCGCATTATAGCTGATTGATAGAGAGTTAAGGGCTACATTTTGGCCTACTTGCTCTAGACATGACGCGTACGTTCAACTTCATACTGACGAAACCTTAGGATCATCTTCTATATACCATTTTGTAGAGAAATGAATCGGGAATCTCTTGGTAATAAGATAAGCTCTGTGAGTTCGAGAAAAACAGAAAATAAAAACTAGGCCATTCTTTCTGTAACACTCGTTAACTTGATATTGATAATTTAGCATCTAAATTAAGATTTTTTTAAATCATCTCCTATTTTAAACTTTCATATTTCTTAATCTTATGAGCATAATAGATTCTCTAACTCTTATTATTTTCGTTCTAGAAATCACTATATAAGTTCTAGTGATTCATCAATTACAATACCCACTATCCAATCGGTTATGTCACAACTTATCAAAAATACTATTAAATATAAATGTACACAAATAATAAATCAATTAACAAATTATCTTCTCAATAATTTAAAATATATTAAACATATGATTTCATTGAGAGATTTTTATTTATTTGAAAATGGTTCATTTATGCATCAATTTTCAATACGTTTATATGAACGATTATGTTTAAAAATAGATGAACCATTAGATGAATTAACTGTTTTAGTATCATTTGATGGTACATTAAATATGTTTGGAATTGAAAAAACACGTTATCCAATTAGTGTATCATATCAAAGTATACAGGATAAAACAGTATTAAGTCGAAGTAAATATCTTATACAAAATGTTCAATTACGCTATATATTACCAGACGGTTTACATATTATTATTAATCAAAAACAAATGGAAATATATCAAAAATGTTTTGAATTTGTTTTACAAGTTAAACAAGCTAAATATGTTGTAGATCAATTAATTTTTGTCGGTAAGATAAATATATAACGATGATTGAAAATAGAATGAAAAAATTTTATTTATTTTTATTTATATAGAATTTCGTGAAAGTTATCGACTTCGTAATAGACGATTATATAATAAATCTTATCATTTGCAGCATGAAATGTTTTTATTACGAGCAAATTTATTGCATGCAATCAATGCTATAAATAATTGTGTATTAACAACAGTATGTACATAAATTTGTCTTTAAATCATCTGTATATATATATATATATATTATTTTTTCTCGTTTGCTATAGTTTCATACAGCCGGTGAAATATTTATGAAAAAAAATTCATCTCAATCGATTGATATTGAAACAATGATATTGTATCATGATGAATTTTTATATTCGATTGCTACTGGTGGACTATTAAAAGAGAAACAACAACCCATACGCGAACAATTATTGAAATTATTTGAAATAATTACTGTTTTTGCACGTTTATGGCATTTGGGGTTTGATCGAATAAGACAAGAACAATTAGATCATTTAAAAACAGAATTTCAAACAACAAAACAATTTTTAGTCATTGTTCTAAAATCATTATTAACACGAGCTATTGATTCACCATTGAAAGCATTAGCATTTGCTCTTTCGTAGATAAATATTATTATTTTTTTTAAAGTATGTGATATAGTTTGTCAGATATAAATAGAAATAAATTATTTTAGTCATTTTTTTTCCCGATAGGTTAGGTCATTATCGCATTATCCATCCTAGCGTATTATGTTGTTTGACCTACATGATCAATTTTCTGTCATATCTTAGATATACTCATGGCATCTTCTACAGCATATTCTTCAAAACTAACATCGTTCGGAAATAATTCTATTAAAGAACTTTATGTTAATGCTATGGTATGTTAATGTCATCTGTTTTAAGGTAACGAAAGAGATCCATCACGAAAGGTGTGTCAATGTATGTATCAATGTATGAAAGGGATGATCAAAAAATCGGTTTTGAAATAAGCACATGGAAAGATAGCCTGAAGTGTCTACTTTCAGAATCTGTATCACTTTCGATTATATAAGTGATTTTTCGCGGCTTTCGAGCACATTTTCTAGGAGCCCCGAAAACCTGGTCTTCAAATAATAGCTTTTTCCTAAATACTTATGCAGTTAAATCTTTTTCTGAACGCGCATATTTGCGCGCAAAATTCTTCGCTAGCTGCATCATGAGTCAGTTGTTGGTGACATCGTCGTCATCAGATGAGCGTTGACTGACTCAATGATCATGCAGCTGGTGAAGAATGCCAATCAGCAGACTATTCATCTATCTTCTAGCTGTTCCATGGCATCAGATGACATTTCACTTTTGTCACAACAATGCTCATCTGACGATGACGGGGTCACCAACAACTGACTCAACCAATCAAAAAATGATAACACTCATAAAATAGAGAAAAAAAGCAAAATGTTCTGACAAGAAAATGATAAATGAATGTCTGGTATTTATATGCCAGTAAAAAGCTTCATGAAAAATATGTGTACAACGAGATTTAAACTCTAAAAATAGTCGAACATTCAACGACCAAGATAGATAGTCTATGCCAAGCATCTACAGTTATCTTGAATCTAACTTTTAAAGCATTATTTATTTTTCATTTTTCTCCATGGGTCCTAGAAACGTCAGTGGATCTAGAAAAGACACGGGACAAGCAGCAGAATATTCTGTAATTGAAGAAACACTTGTTCAGCTCTTCAAGACTAACTCTGATTATGTTTACATTCTATTCATTAGTAAAACTGACACTTGTTTTTACAGTTTAGTACATAGCAAAAGTGAAACGAAATATATCTGGGACAGAAAACAAAACGTTTCGACCAAAGCATCTTCTCTGTGGTTTAGATAGTACCAGGCGATGATTCCGAAGACAAGTTTCTAAAAGATTCGACAGGATCCGACGTCGGAACATGCCGGAATCTGATGAAATCTGGCACAATCCCACCAGAACCATGTCATATTATGTCAGAATCCGGACCGGTGTTGTTTGCAAAGTTCTTAATGAGGCATGCCGTTCTATGCAACAAGTAGAGGCATCGAATGACTGCTTTAGTTTCAAGATTAGCGCTCAAATTTTTGGCTTTTAATCTTCTTATTTGGAGGCTCCTGAGTCTGTTTGAGAGAGATCCTTCCAGTCGTGAACAAACAAGACAAGTTGATATGTTTTACTCTTTGTAATCGAATGAATATTTTATTCTTTTAAACGCACATTAGTCAGGCACCTTAACTCACTCTGTTTCTTATTCTTATGAAAGTGAAACAAAAGCAAAAACGGTATGTTTTCTTTTCACTCCGTAGGCATCTAGCAAAATTGAAGATATCTCTTCTAGCACAAGATATGCGTGTGCAAACATTGCGATATATGTGACGNTGTTGAAAGAAAAAAATGGTGAATGAAAACAACGCTGCAGTGTGACTTTCCTCTTTCTTCACACGGAAGTGAAATGTCATCTGATGCCATGGAGTTTCTACGACATAGATGAATACTCTGCTGATGATTGGCATTCTTCACCAGCTGCATGATTATTGAGTCAGTCAACGCTTGCTCCTTTGGCGATGATGAGGTCACCAACGACTGACTCAATCATGATGCAGCTGGTGAAGAATGCCAATCAGCAGACTATCCATCTGTTTCGTAGATGCTCCATGGCACCAGATGATATTTGTTTTACAAGTTAAACAAGCTAAATATGTTGTAGATCAACTAATTTTTGTCGGTAAGATAAATATATAACGATGATTGAAAATAGAATGAAAAAATTTTATTTATTTTTATTTATATAGAATTTCGTGAAAGTTATCGACTTCGTAATAGACGATTATACAATAAATCTTATCACTTGCAGCATGAAATGTTTTTATTACGAGCAAATTTATTGCATGCAATCAATGCTATAAATAATTGTGTATTAACAACAGTATGTACATAAATTTGCCTTCAGATCATCTGTATATATATATATATATATTATTTTTTCTCGTTTGCTATAGTTTCATACAGCCGGTGAAATATTTATGAAAAAAAATTCATCTCAATCGATTGATATTGAAACAATGATACAGTTATCTTAAATCTAACTTTTAAAGCATTATTTATTTTTCATTTTTCTCGACGAGCATAATAGTTAGAACAAATTCGAAGAAAGATTCGAACAGTTGAAAGAATTTCCGAGCTGATATGCTGCATACAGAGGTTCTATCAAAGCTCATGAAACCAGCGTCTCTGGCAAACCAAGATCTCACAAAACCAAGTCCTCGAGTTCAATCTAGAAATGCTGTGCAAATAGCTCCGCTGTGTAGAGAAAACATTTGAAGAAAAAAAGACGTCTCCGAGCTGTCTGCGACATTTTTTCGTGAAACAGCATTCAATTTACGGAAAGCCCTGAGGTCGTAATTTTCTTGTTTTCCCTTGAGTTCTATTAATATGGGTAGAGCTCTAGTACTTAAGAAAGGTCGCGTATAGGTCGGAGAGGTCTCATTTTGATCATCGTTTCGTGAACTACAATCGTGACTTAAAGGGAAAGTTTCGGAGATTTTTTGAGGTTTCTGGAAAACCAGTTTTCTAGAAAATCGCTCTAGGAAGGCCTAGCGGTCGGTCTGATATGGATATTCGGAATCAGCGTGATCGATAGCCTATAACCCACTAGGTTTGGTGAAAAAAGCGATTGATCAGTTAGATATGTTCCCTCGTAAGTGAACTTCAAAAAACGGATTTTTAGAGACCTTTTCCAGAGCCATATGTGAATCCTCCAAAAACGGCTTTCAGGCATGAATAGTATTGGGTCCATAGATTACAGCGGCATTATAGTTCCAATATTTGGAACACTATCGGACGAGATAACCGACTGGAAAGTCGGCGATTTTTCGTTTTCTATCGACTTTCGAGCTCAGCCGTGCATCAACCAAGAGGCTTGTATGGATCGATTTCATAATTTATAGTACAGGTATACTTGTATAATGGATAGAAGTAGCATTCAATGCAATAAGAAAATTTTTAGGTTTGCACGGGTAACTTGATTTTTTAAAATAATAATTTTTAGGCCAAACTGTTCGTCTCAGCAAAATTTTACCATCTTGTGCGCATATGTTCGCGCGTATGTAAAACTTAGTCTTGTGTATGCTCTTGGTTATAGATAGTATTCGACCTCGACTACTTATGCTGCAAATACGAACTCTTAATCAATTTCCTAGGCTAAGATATAAACATCAGAAATTTGACTTTTATACAAGTATCGTTTTAGACTATTTTTAGGGCTTTTACAAAAAGTTCTATAACTTTTTAACGAAATAAGTCCGAACGAAAAAATTTTGGGAATCTTTCTATATATGTTGCCTCCACCTACAGTAAAATCCTGAGTCAAAAACTCAAACATCGATTGAGCAACTGGTACGCAAAAAAGCTGTCTCAGTCGTGCAATGACTCTTAATTCGTTATTGTGTGAGATTGATGAGCAAACACCGCTCAGTTCTAAATATGATTCGTTTCTTGATCTTGGTAGCAGGCAAGCATTTTAAAACTGGGAGAACGAGAGATAATAACTGACTGTTTATTGGTTTTTTGTATTGCAGTAGTAGTCTTGATTGTCAGCTACGTTCATTGATCGCTTATGTTGATGAATTCGGATCTGATCCGCAACGTTTTAATAATTATCAAAAACAAATTCAACGTTATCAATCGAAACACGTAATCAAAATGATCGGACACGATGTGACGATGGGCAGGATGAAGACTTTGTTCGTATAACAAAATAACATGTACTATCTCGGCGAAATACGTTATTGAATTCAGCAAAATCAATGTCAGTCCGTTGTCACTTGTCCGATTGGGCAAGGTCTCATCTCGAGAACAATCAGTCGTCTCGTGGCGGGAAGCGTTCATTCTACTTCTCGTGCACTGATTATTCACTGTATATTACTGATTATTTCACTGTATATTGTTCAACCTTCTTTCTCTTTTATGACAGAGACGAATAGCAAACATAGCTCAATTTTGCGCATTTTATCTTGTCTGATTTGGCAATATTGCTCGTTCAGGCCAGGTTGATATTGCCCGTTCGGGTAAGGTATCAGGCAATCTTTCCTCCTTGCCTGATCGGAAAATATTGCCCGATCAGGCAAGATAATGCTGAGGCAGATGTAGTTGGTCAGTTTCCCGACTGTACAAGAAAGCACTGTATTATCCAGGGGAAGCTGTAGTTGATGCAGTTTTTGCCGCTCTATCACGTAGGTGTCTACATGCGCCATAGCTTTGACTAATGCGCTAATCCATTGAAAGAAAAAAATGTGGAAATCTTGCCGAAAGGGGCAAGATACTCTTTCCCCGATAAGGCCATATTGCTTCTTCGGGCAATATATCTTGCCCGATCGGACCAGTAAGCGTGACAATATTATGAGATTTACATCACAACAGCTCGTAAGATTATTTATGACGGGAGCTGTGCAAGAAAAAAATTAAAGGGATTATGGGTTAGTATTGTATGTGAACGACAGTGGAATGTGAGTATTTATCTAACAATTTACTTTTAGACGAATTTCATTTTTTTCTCGTTCTTTTTTTTCTGTTTGATCAATATTCATCAATAAATATTATAGAAAGAGTATAAAATTGATCTAACAAAGCACGCTAGCATATTGTTCTCTAAACTTGGATAATCGGCCTATCTGATGCTATGCACATTATTCGCATATTATTCTTTAATGTCAGAAAAACACAAAAACATACACGTAATGAATTGTATTAATCGCAGTTTTTTTGATAAATACAAATTGAAATTTATCTGAGATTTTTAACTCTGACGAGGGAAGGTCCCCGAGTGCCACCTTGGATTTTCCTTGAAACATACTTGATTATGGGTAATTTTTGATGCTGATCATGAATCGGATATCCGATCATCCCCGTACAGCCTTTCAGAACCTGTGTTCAAGTTCTGTGTCTTCAGAAACCCATAGTGAACTTTCGTCTGAACAAATTCTGATAGTGCCAGATTGCAGAGCATATCAAGTTACCCGTACAGACAAGTTTTGAGAAATAAAGGACTAGTTTTCATTGACTTATAGATTTTGTACAGGAAAAGTACCTTAATGCTGCTTAGTTTGGTTGGATAAAACACAGAAAATTTTTATAACTAGTGAAAACTTGTCTACATGGGTAGCATCATATGCTCTGCAATCTGGCACTATCAAAATTTGTTCAGATGAAAGTTCACTATGGGTTTTTGAAGACACCAAATTTGAATAGCAGTTCTGAAAGGCCGTATGGGGTTGATCGGATATCGGATTTATGATCAGCAACAAAAATTACCTATAATCAAGTATGTTTCAAGGAAAATTCAAGGTGACACTCGGAGACCTTTCCTCATGAGCTGCAGTAAATAGAGTAGTGATATTAGTTTGATCTATTTAATTGTTAGTACGAATATGGAGATAGATTTTTTTGATACAGTAAATATCATTGAGTATACAAATTTAAATATGATAAATATTGCTTTAGCTTAAAAATAATAATAATCACCGAAAATATTAGCCAAGTTAGAATTGTTGATTACGTTGTAATGCCATGAGATTTCCATGCGTAAGTATCCAAAACACCCATTTTTTTCACCGTTGACATATTATTACCTTTTGAATAATATTCATCCCTACGAATTGATTTAACTTTTGTTAAACGATTGATCTACAATAAAAATAGACATTAGTTTGATCATATCCAAATATTTTAAAAAATAGTTTAATCTAGATACTTACTAGAGCGTCTGTTTCTTCCACAGATAAATATTTTTTTGATGGTGATTGTGATGGTGTATGTGAATGTTTACATCGCATCGGACTATTTAATCTTTCAACAACGTCCACTACTTGTTCATATGTTGCTCGTTGATATCCCAGTGGAAACGGTGGATGAACAATTGTACCTACAATATTAATTATTTTTAAACAAGAAATTTTAGTCTTACAACACTCTCACTAATATAATGATAAAGTAAATGATAGAAAATACAATAAAGTTTTGATTTTTAGAAATTTGAATAAAAAGTGAAACTTTTTCTAATCTACTCTAGTAATAGAAGAAAGATATACCCCATTTTTGTCGATTACACGGTACACGTTCACTTGTTGTTGTATCTGTTACACGTCCCCAATCATATGTATCGGGAATTAATTTTTTCAATTCATATGCTTTTGGCACTTGAGAATAAGCAATAACTGTTGAATTTAAACTATAATTTGGTGAAGTACGTTGTTGTTGAATACCATCCATCGATTTTTCATGACTGAGAAATGAACTATTTGGTGATGCTATTATTGTTGTGTCTTTCATATGTTGATGATATCGTTGATCTTTTCTATCACGCCGTAGTAATCGACTACTACTTTTATTTAGTTTTTCATTTAATGGATTTTTTTGTAAACGATTGTTTAATATTGTTTTATGATGATATTCCGATGAATCATATAATTGTGAGTTGGTTAGAGAAACACCCGATCGTATCGATGAACGACGTGTTGTATTGTTTACTGTTTTTAATACATTTGTCATTGAATGTTTAGAATCATTCTCTCTTATTTTCAATTTTCTCTCATTATTCTTGTTTTCTAATTTTTGTTTTACACAAAAATCTACATTTGTTGATGTACGATGTATTTGTGGTTGAAACTTTTTATCTGTTATTATTGATGGAATTTTAATTGGTAATTTTCTATTAGTATTATCTTTCGTTTTTGATACATTAAGAGAAGAGATACTAGCATTAGTGATTTCTTTATTATTAATTGTTCTTACTATTAAGTTATTATCATTTGGTTTTTCGATATTTTCCAATATTTCTTCTTTATATTTATCAACTTTTTTTTCTAAACTGACTTCTTCAGGTATTTCATCGTCTATCTGATCATCATTATCATCATCTATATACGATCGGTTATAATTATTATTATTATTATAATTATAACTATTTGAAGCTACAGTAGAATAGGGTCCACTCGATTCATAATCACTTAGTGGTGCACATTCGCGATCAGATTCACTCCAATCTGATATATCTTCATTTGATGTTATCGATTTTGGTCTTGTAGAACGGCTACGTGATTCAAAATGTTGCGCACGTTGTAATGCTAAACGATCACTAGTTCCATCAATATTTCGTGTCCATGAACTTAAACGATTATTTTGTTCGAATGCATTTGGTATTTGTTCATGAAACGATGTCATCGACTATTATTAACTAAAATAAGATAGAATAATTACTTAAAAATCAATTGTCTATTCTTTGATATGTTTTATACTACGTCAGAAATGCTAAATGATAAATCACGTTTCTGTTTGAGTTAAAAATTGAACTATGTGCAGTTATATAAAAGTGCAACAGTATATCGTATATAATAGGAAAAATTTATCAAAATATAATATAATTTTATACGCTTCAACTCACGCTCATCCAGTTATTACAAATAAAAGTTCACTTAGTTTTCGAATTACAGACGAACATTTTATTTGTTATTTTATACCAATCGAATTATTATTTTTTCTAGGTGTTGTCTTAAAAAAAAAACTACTTATTCGCTCGTCTATAATCGGTTAAATATATAACTTTTTGCATGCATACACACACACACACTTACTGACCAATGAGACAGAAACAAAAGATGAAAAAATAAAAAACAAATAAAAAAAATTTAAACGAAAAGAAAAACTTCTTAAAATATTAAACATTAATTTGATAAATATGAATTCTACTATACTGATCGTGTTTGAAATGAAAGACGAGAAAAAAAATAATAGAAATAAACAGAGTAATTATTATTCAACATTAATTTGTCAGTGTATTCAAATTCACTATAAAAGTATTTTATTGTATGCTAAATAAAAACAACTTCGCATGAAAGATATACTTATGCTTTGAATTTATATGTGATCACGACAGAATAATTGTTCCTAATTTTTATATAATTTGTTTTTCAAATTATTTGTACGTCTGGCGCATGAAAGAACGGGGTGAGAAGTCCAGTAGAAATCAGTAATTCATCAATTTTTTCTCTTAAAATGTGGATCGATAGAGACGTCAATTTTATGTAATTCTCCATATTTTTTAAGCATTCGAAATGCATTTTGAAGGTGGCCAAAATGAAAGAGCTTTGCATTTTCCTGAATACTATCAAACAATTTGTCTTAGTCATGAAAAGCAAGCGATAACCTTTCTCATATCCATGAATCGATAGAGCTCGTCGAGCTGATCAACAATATGTATAAGTAAATGGTTAAAAGTGGTAGAAAATATGACTTTTAAACAAAATATACATCTTTACCACCGATAATTATCGCCATCTTTCGTAGTATTTCATTTTTTTCATCACAAAGAAAGCTTTAATCACAAACTGTTCTTAATGTAATAATTTTTTTCTTCGTCAAAAATCGCCTGATGGAGACTAAAAGCATTTTTTTAGTCTTTTTTTCATGAGAGGGACCTCAGCTCGGTTTTTGATTAAGAAAAAAACGGTTTGCTAAAACCATGAATAGCATATCATTCGATTCAATTCTTAGCTCTGATTACGAATATCACCTTTATTTTCCTTTTAAAAACGATTCTTGATGCCGAAAATTTGTATTCATTTTCAAAATTACACTGATTTTGAATTATGTTGAACTTATTGTCAAGATTTCGCCATGATCCCAGACCTTTAAATCAATTATTTTTATTTTTGTAGCAAGTGTTGTAGCATTTTTCAGGAACTATTGATTACATTAAGAACAGTTTGTGATTAAAGCTTTCTTTGTGATGAAAAAAATGAAATACTACGAAAGATGGCGATAATTATCGGTGGTAAAGATGTATATTTTGTTTAAAAATCATATTTTCTACCACTTTTAACCATTTACTTATACATATTGTTGATCAGCTCGACGAGCTCTATCGATT